TTCTCTCCGGATTTTTACATCGTCAGCATATAATAACATCGGAGACTACTATGCTCGGAAGATCATCTACATTCAGGTCCGGCAATATCAAGATTTTCTAGTTCCAATAGAACTCTCCTTGTCGGCACTCTGCCAAATGCTTTGCTGAAGCATATGTGAACAACATCCACCGATTTTCTGTTGTCTAGAGCCTTCATTCATTGCTCCCTTGCTATATGGAGGTTTGTTGTACAAGAAAAGCCTTTTCTGGAACCACATTGTTCGCCGTTTAACAAATTGTTGGTTTCCACAAGTGCCATTATGGTTTTGATGACTATTCCTTCCAGACTTTTAACTACGACACTGTAGTTCTATGACAGTTGTCTTGGTCCTGTTTCATGTATGGAAATGACGACTGCGTCCTTGCAGTCCACAGACAACGCACCTTGTTTAAGTGACATATTGTATATCGTAGTCGATCGGGCAGCAATGTGTTGTGCAAATTATATGTCTAGATCTTCGTCTAGAAGAGGCTTCAGAGTGAAAACTGCGCCGAAATAGTTGCTATAGCCTTTACATTTTCCTGATCATCCTCTTTTATTTCAGAATCACTCCCTTCTTTAATTAGATTGGGAATCTGTAAAATTATGGTCTAGTTCGTTACTAGTGCCGCTCTAATAATAGACCTAATCCTAAAGTTGTAGATTTATTGAGGTGTAACGTGACATTTGTTTGATACCGAATTGAGTGGGATCGTCGCGCACAGGAGGTTACAAAGAATAAGAAGAATCCTCTGAATATTGATTAGCTGAAAGATAAATGTGAAAAGTGGCGTAAACCGATCGGGAAATATATGTACTAGTTACAAATGTTCGATTTCATACTTAACAAGCGAAAAATATAAGCTTAGGTGAAGATTATTTGAGTTCAACAAAGTGGGATTATAATAATTGGGAATGATTCCGTATAGATGTATCTTAATTAGTCATCGTAAGATGCATAGTAATAGTCGTTAGTTAATAACTTAAATTATAGGTAGTGCAAGTACTTTTTGTTTAGAAATATTAAAAGCAATGAATATTGTAGGAATGTTAATATTGGTATTATGAAATCAAATAGCGATTATGCCGGTAACCTGTCCGTATGTGTTGATTTTCGATTGCATGTGTATTAGCAGGCTAGCTGAAGCAACAAAAGTATAACCGTGGAAAAGAATTCCAACTAGTGTTCCAGTTAGTTTGATTCGGTTTAGTTAGCGACCTGTAGGTTTACCCGACCTCATTTCTACTTGACCGTGGTAGAAATTTAGTAGTACTACTAATACACATGAATGGTTATCACAGCAAATTTTAAATACGTGAGTGATAATTATGTGAATTTTGGATGGATAGCTAAGAGCGATTCGTTATACATGAGTGCATCCGCGAAAGGCATGCTCTAGACTCAATGTTCCGATTTGCTGATGGTACACAACAGTTCGTTGCAAGTATGCAGTTTATCATAAGGCTGGATACGATTTAACTGAGATATCGTAATTGTAACCGAAAGAGAACGATGAAAATCCCTCCGCAGCCTTTTTGTTGGACAGTACTTTCATTTATCTGTTTCCTCTCCGTGTAGCGTATTTTGACGTTTGTTGAGATCTCGTTTAGTCACACGCTTTGTTCTTCGGTCTTTCTCGTCTGAGCCTTTATATGATTTTGATTAAAGACTTATCTTTTGTTACGTAATTTTCTATTGAATATTGCCAGACTATTTACAGTAAGATCGTGTTTGACTAAGCCCAAGGTCAAGGCGTGGGTCGGTGTGTGACTGTTGACATTTTGACTGTTTGCTTGGGAGGGTCGATCGAATTCCCAAGGAATATTTTTGTTGATTCTCAGGTATCAAACTCTTTAGTATTACCTGTTTCTTTTATTGTTTAGCGCGCTGCTTTGCGTAGAAGAAACTTCTGACTGTATAGCACAGGCAGCACCGTTTGAGGTATTTTGTTCTTTTGATATAATTTGTTCTATTTTCTAAATTAGAACCGTTTAAATTGCGCACAGGGTTTGTTTTTTGATATAATTTAATACGAGTATCTCAAAAACGCTTGGTAAGCTATGCAGAATAACGTAGTCTGGCCTATTCGAATACATCTTGGTTCATCAATCCCGCGTTCAAACCGAATATTGGCAGTTCTGTCGTTACAGCAATTATAAGTTACTGAAATCAGTTAAGCCTAGGTGATGTGGTGCTGCATGATGTACTCGGCCAAATAAGATTTTACTATATGATTAACAGTAATGCCCGTGTGATTATCAGGGAAACATAATTCGTACCCAAAAGAAGCACACTCCAAACTCATGTCTATGAAAATGGCTTGAAGTTTAGTCAGCGCTAGGGTAAATTCGACAGTGAAGTTTTCAGTTTGCAGAAGATTCGCTCGACTGCTTATACTGATGATTTGTATGCATGGTTGTGTCACTAAACCTCCAGTTAGATTGACAAAATTTCGAAATATTTACTGAATGAGCGGCTGATAGAAAAACATGCTGAACTATTTCCGTTTTTTATGAAATCTGTTCGCATTTTATTCCACCATCACTTATAAGTCGACCTATGACAGCCAGCACGCTTGACAAGTCAAAAGTTGCGTTACGTCTACGAGCTCTCTCAGTGACTTTAATTGAACTCATTGTAGTGAACTAACATCCAATTTGGTATCGAACCAACATCGGGTTGATTCTGGTGGGAGAGTAGTGTAGTGGCATTGGACTGTAACCACACAATCATCAAAGCTGAACACGAGACTACACGGAAGATAGATATTCAATATTTAACGCGGAGAAATACCTAACGATGGAGAAGGCAGGAACAAGTAGTCGAAATAATTGGAGTTGATCGATTGGCATGGCCCGGCCATGCAAGCGTGGTCCTCGTTGAATGTTATCTTATATCATTTATTTATATTAAATATATCGTTCTTTCCCTAGCGTCAGCTTGTTCTCCATCATGTAATAACAAGCGTGACGATACAGTGAAATGTTGTAGACGATGATGTGACTTCCACGTAAGATCTTATAGATTATGCAGTTATATCATGACAAATTTACAATTTTAAGATATGGTCTATTATTACAGCAGCACTAATATCACAGTAGACCATAATTCTACAGGTTCTCAGATTTTATTGAGACACTTCAGTATTTTGCTCAAGTACATTCATTTGTCCACACACACATGCTAAGGTTGCCCTCATAGAGGACAAAATTTGAGCGAGGAATATGATTCCAGACACCTATATATTTGCCTTAAATTTATGATCGAATTTAAATCCTGACGCTAGTCGCTTTCCATTCCAGCTAAAACGTGGATGTCGAATACATAGCCGTCTCAAGGAGTTTCATCACCGCAGAATCCGACGCCATCGAACCTGGCCGCAGTCACGTAAAGCTGTAAATACTCGCCCTAAGCGAGCACCTTCCAAGCCACTCCAAAAAGGAAGAAGGTACCGGTTTATACTGGTTGTGCCGTAAATTCGGGTCAGGTGCCCGGCATTGTCGAGCCCCTTGCACATACACGGCGGGAACCTTCCAAGCCGACGAATAAATGCGACCGTGCATGCCCACCTCTCACCTCAGGTTAGTCGCCTATTTTACGTGCACGACTATCGCACCAACGCTAGGTACTGAGTAGATACAGGTGCTCAATTCAATGCGTACTCGAGGTTATGCGGATAACAATTTACTGAGGAGTTGCGAAGAATAGCACGATGTTCACAAATTTGGTAAGTGTTTGTCCTGTGGTAAATATCAGTCACGTACTTCATGCGTGTTTCATAACGCTGAATGCTTTAAATGTGGTAAGATTGTACATATTCAGTCAATTTGTGGTACTACTGTTCATTTCGCTGCAACTGATGCTAAACTTTGTAGTTCTGATCCTATAAAGTTAAGTGCTTCTAACGATAATTTGTCTTTGTCCACGATTTGGAAACACAGCCTTGTTAATCCTGCACTCTGAAACTGAACTTCAGCCAAAACAAACGTATACTTCATGTGGTGTTTGCCGAGAAAACTGGAGACACTCGTATTCAGAAAATAATTGGAACAATACAATAAACATAAGTGCATCAAATGAAATCCAGAATCATTGTGAGACAAAAGTTTCCAATCAATTAACTTCTTATCGGATTTCTCATGTCATTGTGTGGTGCGTGCTACTGATATTGACAGATATAAGTAGTACGTAGCACCAATCGGAAGTGAAATGCATGGCGACAGAAGGTTACGAAGATCGAAGAGAAGAGAACGAGAGCAGAGAGTGATTGGTGTGGAAACTAAGGAACAACAAGATCTGAGATAGCTGATTGACATTTTGCAAATGAAGTATTTACTGTATGGTTTTCAGATTTCATCAAGATATTCTGTAATGTTGTATTGAAATATATTTAGTTGTCCCGGCCTGTTTTCTCGTCCACTACAATTGTGCCAGATTTGGTTTGTCCTACCGATTTACATACTCTTAATGAAATTTCTTATAAATCTGTTGAATGGATCAATTCATGATTGGAAATTTGACAGATGCTGAATTTTCTAATGATTCATCAATTTCCAATAAAATTCCTAATAAATTTCAAAAAATATTTCGGAAGAACCAAATCTTATTGTCATATCAGATGTTATTTGTCGTCATAATGCATTTGTTTCTTGTGGGTAAATTGTTCAATGAGAAGCACGAGTCCTAAATGAGCTCGATTTTGGTTATGATTCCAATGATTTCATACCAACTGTGGTTTATCCTTATCATGAAGTTACTTCTAATGAATCTTCTAATCAATGTGAGTAATATAATGTAAATGAAGCAACATCATTTATAACTTGGGGATATGAAAATCCAACATTATTTTGTAGTGACTTAATTTTATCACGAGAACGCGATTGGTTTAACGAAAACAAATATTATTATAACCAATTGTACCAGTGCTTGTTGTATGTGCTTTTGTTTAACTGTGCTAATTACAGCCATTTTGTGCTTCCATGACCTTCCATCATTGTCTCACGCTTCGTGGCTACATTCGCACATACTCTCTTCTGCTGGTACCATTTCTTGGCACGATCTTGGTATTCATCCGATACCACGAGATCGCCAATGAAGTAAACCTGATTCTAATCCGCCTTCTGATTTGTTTGGCAAGTGTTTTCTTGGTAGCGGTGTTCATAGTCAACTGGGACTCGACGCCACGCTACAATTTCATGGGGGAAGATAGTGTTGGAAAGTCTATGGTTCAAATCCTAGATATCAATGGTTTCAGAATACAATCAACATGGCGATTGTATACAATTCCAGGATTCAGGTGAGTCCGTTCCGATTTCAGTTATTAAATTTAATACTTATTAGTATATTCTAGGTCATACAAAGTCTACATCCAATATACGATCGGACAGACATATGGAGAACCTAAGGAGAAGAGGTATAATTGATTTCAGAAATTTAAATTCTTACTTAAGCTGTGGAGGATGTCATGTTTGTATGAACTATTGATTCCTTCGTACTTAATGTTCACCTGATTTCGAATTGCAAATATAATACGTTCGTTTGTGTTCACCTAGTTCTTCTCGAATTAAGTTGCACTGTTTCTGGGATTCCTAGTTCGTGTAATAATTCAAATACTTCCAATCATCACAGCGTGTTGCTTCAATGTTCAGTTGGGCTGATCTATTCAGGAGTTCTTTGAAGTGGTCTACCCACTTATTCTGCCGTTTGTAAATCTCATTGATTGGTCTGTCTTCTTTGTCCTTGACTGGTCTCTCTTGTTTACTATATTTCTCTGCTAGTTTCTCCGTTGTATCATATTCCCTTCTCTTGCAGCTCGATATCCATTTATAACGAAACGTTCCTAATACATGGTATTGGAGGCAAAATATGATTGGCCACTGAGTGTGGATAAACAAGCACTTAACCTACTGACTATTAAATTTGTGGTTATCTTTCCTGTCGTTGAGTTACACTCTGGACTCACTGCTTGCAATTATATTGAATAAAGCACTAAGGAGTGTGAATTTGGTTCGCAAGTCTTGAATCTGGTACGACTGTTGGGATACTCAGAAGAATATCCCAGAAACAATTATCCGGTTAAGTCTAACGCTACCCTTGAACGTTAAATGGTGTCATTTCCCTATTGGTCGTTTCCCTACTGATCAATATTTATTTCGCGTGTCATTTTCCTATTGGTCAATATTATTTAACGTGTCATCTTTCTGTTGGTCAATATTTATAGTAATCCTAACTGTATAAATATGCATTTGTTTGTAAATCATTATTCTGCTGCTCCTGACCCCATAAACGATTTTTCATCTACGGTTCGTGTTCTGATATATTGGAGATTGGGAACAGTATTGGGGTCGAACTCGGATATCTGAAGCTTGTCAATCGGTAGAATTTAGAGTAGCCAACTCGCGATTCACAATAAATTGGCGACGGAGATTTAGCAACAAGTTGGTGATTAACTATGGATCCAGCCAAATTAGAAAAATTGTTCGAACAGCAGCTGAAGCTGATGGAGATGATTACTCAGACGCACATATCTTCTCGAGTCCCAACTACACCGACAATTCCTGAATCAGTTGATGGTATTACCAGTGGTATTTCAGAATTTCTTTATGATCCTGATGCCAACATTACATTTGATACCTGGTTCAGACGTTATGAAGACCTTTTCAAAGTTGACTTTGCTGACAGAGATGATTCGTGGAAGGTGCGTCTTCTTCTTCGTAAACTTGGTCCATCCGAGCTGGATAAGTATTGCAACTTCATTCTACCGCAGAACCCACGCGACCGTTCATTCGACGCCACTATTCAGTCCCTTAGCCAACTTTTTGGTGATCATCACTCACTCTTCAGTACCCGATATCGCTGCTTAAAACTGGTCATGAATGAGTCCGATGACTTCCTGACCCACGTCGGCGTTGTTAACCGTGAGTGCGAACGGTTCAAGCTCAGATCCCTCACTGAAGACCAATTCAAGTCCCTAATACTCATATGCAGTCTTCAGTCACCCAAATTCTCCGACATCAGAACTCGGTTGCTTAACCGCCTTGAACAAGATCCAACACTGACACTTAATGCGATCATAGACGAATACCAGCGTATCATCAATCTGCAGCGTGACACCACTTTGGTCCAATCTGGGGGCCAGGGTGGTTCCGAAGTTCATGCTGTTCAGCACCAGAAAAAATCTTCGAGATCGACAAACTCGAGTCCTTCGAACGCCAGCGCTGTTTCTATCTCTAATCACTCTAAACCGGCTCAGAAGAAGCCCCCCTCGCCATGTTGGCACTGTGGAGCCTGGCATTATGTGAAGTTCTGTCCATTCAAACAGCATGTGTGCGATCGCTGTCAGAAAGTTGGTCACAAAAGCGGCTTTTGCAAATCCAACCGATTCAATAACCGTCGAAATGCACAGACGCAGCGTCGTTTTCACAAAAAGCCGATTACCTCATCAAGGAGTTTAGCAGCAGTATTCCATACTCATGCCGCGACTCGACGCAAATTTCTGACCCTCTCAATCAATGGTCAGCCAGTTCGTTTGCAGTTGGACACTGCATCAGATATCACCATTTTGTCGAAAAAGACTTGGCGAACCTTGGGTCAACCTCCCATCAAACCATCCTCTCAGACAGCCGTCAGTGCCTGTGGGGGTCATCTCCGCCTTCATGGTGAACTCTATTGCTGCATTTCATTCAGAGGTACAACCTTCAATGGGACATGCTACATCACCAATTCTCCGCTCAACCTTTTAGGTTTAGATTGGTTCGAAGAACTTGGTCTCGCTGATCTTCCTATTAGCGCTATCTGCAATCAAGTCCAAACTACTGCTTCTACACAACAGCATGCTGAAGACCTTCGAAAACGATTTATTGAACTATTTAAGCCTGGTCTCGGACTTTGTTCCACAACTGAAGCTGTTTTAAAACTGCAGTCAGAAGCTACGCCAGTTTTTCGCCCAAAGCGTCCAGTCCCATACGCATCTTTACCTCTGGTTGACGCTGAACTTCAACGTTTGGAAACTGAGGGTGTCCTAGTACCTGTTTCTTATTCATCATGGGCTGCTCCAATTGTGGTTGTAAAAAAATCCAATGGTTCCATACGCATCTGTGCAGACTTTTCCACAGGACTCAACGCAGCTCTACAACAGCATCACTATCCGCTGCCGATCCCAGATGACTTATTTACTATTTTAAATGGTGGTACCTATTTTGCTAAGCTGGATCTGGCAGATGCTTACCTTCAAATTCCAGTCGCTCTAGAATCCAGAGAGTTGTTGACAATCAACACTCACCGAGGACTTTTTCAGTATACCCGGTTACCCTTTGGTATCAAAACTGCTCCAGCGATCTTCCAGCAGATCATGGACACTATTCTGGCAGATGTTCCTGGTGTTGCTACATACCTTGACGATGTGCTCATTGTCGGCTCAACTGCTGATGAATTGCATACCAGAACCCACTTAGTTCTGCAACGCCTCCAGGATAATGGTTTTCGCCTTCGCCCAGAAAAATGCCAATTCTTCTTACGTTTCGTTAAGTACCTGGGGTTTATCTTTGATGCTTCCGGACGACACCCTGATCCTCAAAATACTTACGCAATCCAACAAATGCCTGCTCCCACTGATGTCTCCTCACTGCGATCATTTTTGGGAATGATTAGCTACTATTCAGCATTTCTTCCATCACTGCATGACGTACGATATCCATTAAATCGTCTGCTAGAAAAGAATGCTACTTGGAATTGGTCAACGCAATGTGAGTCAGCCTTTTCAAAACTTAAAGCCATGCTAAGTTCCAATCTTCTGCTAACCCACTACAATCCGAAACTACCCATTGTGGTTGCTGCTGACGCTTCAACACATGGACTGGGTGCCGTACTCTCACATGTCTTTCCCGACGGGTCAGAGAAAGCGGTGATGCACGCTTCGAGAACACTAACACCTGCTGAGAAACGCTACGGCCAGATAGAGAAGGAAGCGTTAGCCCTAATTTTTGCTGTCCGGCGATTCCACAAATTCATTTATGGGCGCCGTTTCACCTTGCTCACAGACCACAAGCCGTTGTTATCAATCTTTGGATCAAAGAAAGGCATTCCTGCCCATTCTGCTAATCGTCTTCAACGTTGGGGGCGTTATTGGGGTACGACTTCGACATCCAGTATCGACGTTCCGAAGATTTTGGTCAAGCGGATGCACTGTCCAGACTTATCAGTAACCATTCTACCACTGATGAGGACACACTCATAGCCATAGTATCAACCGAAGAGGATTCCGGTGCTACACTATTAGCGAATGCCGTTCGAGCAATGCCTGTTACCGCTGAAGATGTTCGGGAAGCTACCAGAGAAGACCCGATTATCCAAGAAGCGATCACCTATGTTCAGAGCAGATGGCCAGTTAAGCAGCTGAGTGGTGATATGCAACAACTAGCGAATCGTCGCAGCGCTCTCTGTATTGTTAACGATTGTCTGATGTTCGGTGATCGCGTAGTAATTCCAACAACCCTACGTTCCAAAGTCCTACGCCAATTCCACTCTGGACACCCAGGGATAAACCGTATGAAATCCATCGCTCGCAGCCATGCATATTGGCCGAATATGGACAAGCAGATTGTCGACTTCGTCAAAAGATGTTCACATTGTCAAAAAGCTGCGAAAAATCCTCCTAAGTTGCCTCCAGTACCCTGGCCAAAGTCAGAAAAACCCTGGTCGCGAGTGCATATTGACTTCACCGGACCCCTAGATGGTACCACATACCTGATACTGGTTGACTCCTACTCCAAATGGCCGGAGATATTGCCGATTGCGCCACCCTCTACAACTCGAACTATCAAACTCCTTAATCGGATGAAACCCAAGCAAGTGGCCCAGATGAAGAATACTCGAATTCCCTACGAAGTTGGTATGCGCGAGATTATAGACATGGATATGATAAATGGGTAGAGGGTGAAATCACACAAAAACATGGGAACGTCATGTATGGTGTCAAGGTGAACCAAGAAATCTGGACCAGACACCACAATCAACTCAGGTCGAGGAAAGCGAAGGAGAAAGAAGCAATTACAAAACATGTCCCACTCGACTTGCTGTTGGACACGTTCCAACTTCCGCCAATACCTCCAACAGAGACGACTAAGTCATCTACTCAAGTAGAACATCCTTCTGGTTCTGTGTGGTTGCCTCGGAGGTCGGATCGCGAAATAAGACACCCAAAGAAACTTCAAGTAAACCCTCGGTTACGTCGCTATTAACTTCTCCAAAGGGAAGGTGTAGGGTTACTCAGAAGAATATCACAGAAACAATTATCCGGTTAAGTCTAACGCTACCCATGAACGCGCAATTTCGTGGATTGATTGAGGTTAGACATTAACAACATTGGATGCCACCTCAGTGGTCCGGTAGGTTAAGCGTTTGCGCGCGAGACTGAAGGCCCTGAGTTCGAATCTCGTGAGCGGGGTCGTGGACGCGCATTGCTAAGAAGTCCCACAATAGAATGAAACGACAGTTCAGTGCACCCGGGTTTTCGATGGTGGTCTAACATCAATCGGTTCATGATCTCAATCAAAAAAGTTAGTACTGATGTTTGTAAGACGTTCGTTCGCTAAAAGGACTGTTAGTTGCTGAATGCGTCAACCAGGCAGTATATCGCCCGTAAGAAAAACACAAGGACGAAAATGCAACTTAATTAACGAATATGCAAGAGGCGCATGAACAGAAAAGAACAAGTTAGCAGTAAGATGGATAAACCCAATACAATAAAATGAATGAGTAGCATATTACATTAAAAGGCCACTCATACCACAATGTTTTTTTAGAAAGAGTTCGGAAGACTGACAAGTTGAAGAGTGCTAACAACACACACATATACACACAAGCATGCTTAACACATAGACATAAGTAAAATTTACAAACTATCCACTGTGAAATGACAAAAGCTTTTATGCTTTCATCAGTTTTTGCATGAGAAATAACAAATACTTCTAAAAAGTTCAAGTGACTTGAAAAGGCACATTAACAAAGGAAAGTATGAAAAAATGTATGAAGAAAAGATTGTAACGAAGAGAAATTGTTTATTCAGAAGATAACGTATAGAATAAATTAGAACTAGTTAATACACTTAGATGGAAAAACGCAGTTACCGGTGGATAAGTAGTTAGTTCAAAGGTGATTATTCTTAGAAGGTGACAGAAATGAAGACATAACAGTTTCTTATGAGTACACCTGAAGTGGTTGTCTTTTTATTGCTTAAAAATCTTGATACTGAATGAGATGACTGGAACCGGTTAAAATGAAGTACTGCTACTTGAGCGCGAATAAACTAATGAACCACATAAGATATGCATGCTAATCACAGGTTTAAGAAATTGTAATGTTGTATAAACATGTGTAACGTATTCGTGTGTAAGAAATGAAGATGAGATTGGATATTAGTAATAATGTTTGCGAAAAACCAGACAACATTGTCGGTATGAGACTATATATATATATATATATTATATATATATATATATATATTATATATATATATATATATATATATATATATATATATATATATATATATATATATATATATATATATAACTCCGGGAAAGTAACAAAAGAAACAATATTCAAACAACAACAAGAAATGAAGATATGAGAATGTAATACATGAAGTTTTTTCGTTAACTCAACTTAAAGAGGTACACACAAACATCCAGTAAAAGTGTGCAAGGATCTCTATTCCTGATATACTACTTGCGCCGACTGCTGTCTGGCAGAATAATTACCCTGACCACCACTACGTAACTTCTGACTACCAAGAGATGAATCGACGTTGTTGAATTGACAATTGGTATCCCACTGGTCGGAATTTTGGGGACGAGCTGGATGTGAGCGACGTGGGGGACGTGATTTACTGTTACGACTAAAAAACAAATAATAATGGTACCTTTGAGGTCGTACCTCATATGAGTCATAATAAAACGGTCACATTCAAATTACCACTGTAGAAGACAAGGAAACTAATAACTGTGTATTCATACTACTAAACTCGGCTGACGGAATGAGAAATTTGGCATCTAACTACTAGAAAGCTATAATAAACTTGAAGAGTGGAAGTGCAGTAAGGCCTGATAAGCTGACATGGGATGCCCTGAAGAATAGTGGCTTGAGATAGTTAGCGTCAGCTTGGTGGTTTTATTAGCCTTTACAATAATTGTGTGGCTTATACCCGAGTACCTGGAGAACGAGCTACTTTAAGTAATTTTTATCTTGTGAATCTTAACAACACTGCTGGGTTGTTAAGAAATTTTGGCACGGATACAAAGCCCGTCTAGCTTTTCCCAATTGTCCGAGGACATAAGATGTCCGTACCTTTATCTTCAGTCGCAAAAACTTCGAAGTACCAGTGACGTATTGTGAGACAACTAAGTAAATGCCACGATTGAGTGGAGAGTTGAATCGATAAACGAAACTGGACCTCTAAATGTCATAGTACAAGTAAGGGTAGACAGAGTTCTCTCTTCCTCACGAAATGCTTTCATATGGCTACGCATTCATAACCACTGACAGAGGACTTCAATCCACTCCATTCTCACAGTGAGGGTGCTTTTTACAGAAGTGGGGTGATGAAAGACGAATATCCAGCGACCGAAGCGGGTTAACGGGTATGGATGCAAGTTAAAAAGACCCTTATTCTAAGCCGGTGATGCATATGAATTCTAGGATGTGAAAATAAAGTTCATTAACAGACATTGGTCACCGGCTGCCATGGCACTGCATTTTGTGATGTCACTTCACTCTACTGTGGATTAGATCCTTTGGTCGAAAGCTTGGGTGACCAGTAGGGACTCGTTGATTGCAGAAAAAATGACGATGACGGTCTCCTGAAAACTTGAGAAGACCAAAATCTAGTTCTGAACGTCAGATTTCCTGCACAGTTATCGCTGATGTGCTACCTGGAACCCTACCTCTGCAACCCAGTCGTCGACTCAGATTAACCACACCGTGACCAGTTACTGTTGGCGTGGTTATACTGTTCCTTTTGAAGTACATACCTGGACTTTGATCATACCCTTGTTTACACTAATCTCATGTTACGTCTCAGTGGCCAAAATGTTCATCGTCCTAAACAGATTGTTTTGAGTAAATTGGCTGCAGATTTTGTTGCAACTAAATATCAATTTATACGAATATTCGTCAAGATTAGAACGAATAGTTTGACAGTAATTGAGCGCCGAGTATAGAGAAGTCCAGACAAGTTAGCTGGACGAAACGTTGGAATTAGTTAAATTTCAATCGCTGAGAATATTTCAAATATAATTTTCACATATAATAACTAAATATCAAGCCTAGCTTTCAATTCACCGAAAAGTATGGATGAACACCGGCTGCGTTTGCAAGACGTTATGAAAATTGCAGGTCACGTCTCATGTGACTTCTCAAAACGTCCTGCGCTTATAAGCAATGCTTCTCTACAGCTGCTTGGGATACTCCAGCGAATCATGTGTAATATGTGTGATATTGTCTTAATATGCGATGATACACATACTACGCAAATCGCGTCCAGTCAGTAGGCATGGCATATACTTTGCACTTTATAAGTGCAGAGTATTTCTACGATTGGCAGAAGCCTCACTCTTAGTGGTGAGCTCTTAAAGGTGGTTGAAAAGTTCGTGTGTTCGGGTAGTTCGATGAGCGTTGGTGGTGGCGTGAATGATGAGACCTATATACCTATATTGGACCATCTTTGACGACATTCTGAGTGCAAATGGTCGGGTCTACAATGATTTGGTGATAGCAGTCCTGCTGTGTTTGCGAAACCTGACCTGTTCGAGTCAAGGATGTTCGGCGACATTCTGTGTTCGATCGTCGTTGTCTCTGAATTGCTGGCGTTCAATTGTAAAACTATGCCAGTATTGTGCGTCTAGACATAGTAGTAATAATTTGGTTAATGTAACCATATTGAAACATAGGATTGGATATGTTACGTGTGTCATCCAAGCAACTTCCACACAGTGCAGTGTTGTCGACGCTGGGATGAGGTAAGAAAAGCGAACAAGTGGTCAGTTTGTAGCCTCGTGGTTTGAAAGAAAATTGTATGGGACTATAAAATATTAGTCCATTACGATTACCTGGACAGAGTCTCAGAGACAGTTCAACTAAGTGGCTTTTGACGTAATCAAATATGACTCAGAACTTCTCAAAAAGTCCGTGGAAGATAAGATTCCACCTAATAACCACAAACTTATCCCTCTAAGAAGACTAAATAACCTTGTGGTAATGTTTCTGAGAAACGTAATGAGGATGTAGGCTTACATTGTTCGTGAAGCAGCGATCGGGTGCACACTAGGAATTAAAAACCCTGCTACAGCCGGGAGTACAAAGAATTCAGCCTCCACAGAGCATTTCCATGACACACACTTACCCAAGAAGAGACATTTCAACTCAGTAGCTTTTGATGTAATCAAATATGACTCAGACTAACATGTCTGCTGAGATTTACTTTTATCATATAAAGTTGATAGGCACTTCTTTTTCCGAAAGTTTTTCTGGCTATTATTTTCAAACTAAACTTCTACTACCGCAACATACTACACTCGTTAGTTTTTTTATTTTTTATTGTTATATGTCTTGGTTACGTGACACATCCGTTTGGGCACCAGTTTGTGCTCAAATAAATAATAATACTGTGTTATCAAGAGTGACCTTAGATATAGAACCAAAATAATCCTTGGTTTACGCCCACACAGGTGCTGTCAGTGATTACCCTTGAAAAGTTTGCAACCAAAATGGAAACGGGTAACGCGTGTCTCCTATTTTTCAGACTATTACCTTTTATTATGATTTGTGATTTGTTTATATTTGTGCTTAATTGCTTTAAAGAATTTTACTTTTTTAGTAGATCTCGCCCATAACTGTAAACTGTTCGCAGATAAAGAAACGTCCTGCCATTTTTAAATTGATTATTAAACGTAATATAACCGGTTTTCAAAATTAACAAGCTACCTACCGACTATGTACATATTTATTCAGTCTTGAGCGCATATTGTCAACTGAACAACCCCCGCCGTCTTCAGAAGACGCATCACCACAAGGGAAATTGTTTTCATTGCTAGGATTGAGGGTATCCTCACTTTCGTCCCCACGTTCTCTATCAGAATAAAATCCATTTGGAGCTGGAGAATGACGTCCTACTCTGTTATGTCTTCCGGCGTTTGCTCGTTCTGCAGACAAACCATCAGGCAAGTTGTCAGACTCCAAGACATCCGAATCACCTGAACCTCGACGACGGTCAGCGACATCCCCGTTGTTGTTCATGAGGTTATTCCAATTAGAATCGCGACCTGGACCTCCTATTCGCCGACTTCCTCTTCCACTTTGACGTGGGATTCTTCCACCAGCACTACGGTGACCGTATGTTTCACGAGGCTGTAATTCAATTAACAAAACAGATAAATTGTCATTCTGCCAAATTACATGATTATATTTAATGGATTAGATGTTCATAAAAATTGAAGAACATTAATCATTTCATATAAAGATAATTGCTCATTTCTTAAAAACAAAATTGCCGGGAAGATTTTCTGATGAAATATTTATTTCCGAAGAGGAATCATGATTTGAACAAGACTCAATTGTGAATCACCCTAGATTAATCATGAGTTTTCTGGTGCATGCCTACTAGTCAGTCAGTAACATCGTGGGACTTTGTACGTACGTACATCAGTTCGAGTTGCCACTGATATATCAAACATGATCTACGGGTTGAAAAGAAATGATTTTGAACACGGATCTCATTACAAGAAAGGTTTAAGACGGTTAACTATTTGTTAGCAAATTTTCTTGACAGAATATAGAAACCTTATTAATTTGATGCTTGAATTCTGCAGCCTTTTTAGTAATACTATAAACATACTGTACAGCACGACGATAGACTTTATATTTTCTATCGATAATATCACTATTAGGATAGCACACAAGAGTTTACCAGAGATACACCACACAGCTGCCACAAAAGCTCTACCATAATGTGGCGAAAAATTCAAATTGCTGGTAGTTTTTAACATAGTCATTTGAATGCGTACAAAATACAACGATTGTCTGGAAGATGCCTTAGGATTATACACAAAATATGTCACAACGAACACAGTAAAACATAGCTGGGAGTAAACTAAAGGTTAGATTATACCAATATTTGACTCCATTTATGAACACTAGACAATGAAGATCAAATAACAAGCCAAACATCATAATTTTCACATCTCGAATAATAGTTCTTTACAAGAATGCAAGTTTTGCAACCTTTGATAATGAATAGTAACGTGTCATTAATCAAGTAGCTTGTTGGATGTGAGGATAGACCTGAATGTTGACGTAGTGAGAGAAGCGAAACTGTGATCAACTGGCGAAAGGTCAGTTATCAGCTCATTCTGACACGATCGACTAGTAAATAAACGCACATTTATGAATGGTATAGATGAGACTAATGGAATTTTGTTATCTTTCTAACCTTTAACCTGATTGGCAATTGAGACATTCAAACGGTGTGTTCATTTAATTTTTACTCATTCAGTTCAGTTGAATTCTGAATCACTATTTATTATGCGATTAATTGCGTATTATGTCACAAATAAAATAGCTCGAGAAGACCACTGAACAGATAATTAACTGCATACCGTACGTTTTGCACCTCGACAGGGGATTGGATTTCCAATATTTTCATCATCTGTATAATGTCCATGATTGACATCACTAACAGGAGGATGTAACAGGCCACCACGACCTGGTCTGCGTCCGCGACCACCACGGCCATAATTCCCAACACCACCACGTTCACCCCAACGTCCGACTGCCGTACCACGAGCTGGGTAGACTGGACCAGAGTCCACTCCACCATGAGATAAACTACGCATTAACTCCAGCTTTTCGCTCTTATTAATGATGCAATAAAAAGAAAATAATCTGTTAACTAAAAGCCACAGACTGTAATGATAGAATTCTGAAGTGAAAAGTGTATCAGCTTATAATAATCCCAATGAGAATAAAACAATATCTAAATGGTTTAATAATAAAAGTCAAGTGTACAAAATATATATTTGGTGCTTAACGTTTAGAGAAAGAGAATCAATTTGAACAAATTCTTTACTGAACAATCTTACTAATTCCAGCCGTGGCCCAACTCCCGGACAAAGAAAAGTTGTGCGTGGAGTAGAAAAAATAATTTAAACTCTGCCTTAGAAGGTGAACGATCCTTATTTGGAAGAGTTATGACATTTTATAGTGAAAGTCAAAATTATTCCGTAGTCACGAGGTCGATGCCCATTCGAATAATTACAGCAAAACATACTTACCTGGACTGCCTGGAGGATGAGGAAGGATCAGACAAGTAGCGACGGAAATAATATCTAAGATGGGGGTGCTCAGAATAAGATAAAAAGTAAAAATTAGCTTCATGAGATAGGTTGTTATACTCTGGTCATGAAGAAGGAAATTTCTCCCACAAACAAGGAGATGCAGTAATAGTACCCAAAGAAGCATGGATTATGAAGCCCTCAACATCTGAGGGGAAAAACTGAATACAGTGGACGGCTTGGATGCAACTACAAGATTTGAACATGGCATATGACCTGACCATTCTGTCCCATACACACGAACAAATGCAGGTGAAGACAAACAGTGTAACAGTAGCCTCAGAAGCAATGGTCTCAACATACACACGGGAAAAAGCAAAATCCTCAAATACAACAAGGAGAATACCAATACAATCACACTTGATGGACAAATTCTGGATGATATGGAAACTTTTACATAACTGAGCAGCGTCACCGATTAACAGGGAGGACTCGATGAAGATATTAAGAATATATATATATATATATATATATATATATATATATATATATATATATATATATATATATATATATATATATATATATATATATATATATATATATATATATATATATATAAAGATTGCTCGATTATTGTTCTGTAACATACACGACAGTTCGAATATGTCTTTACGGTTTTGAAGCTATTTACCTTTAGTGGATGCCTTAAAACTGCAATAGAAAAGGGAACATAGCTGGGAATGTTAGTCAATTATGAGAGAAATCCATACTTTGTAACATCTCAATCCAATTAGCAGAACTAGTTCGCTCTTCGACCCAAAATTTTCTGCTTTTAGTAGTACAGCTCTTTAACGACATGTACACTATATGGAATAAAAAACATGAAGTGCATTTCCACGCTGCAGAAGATAGAATTAAATCCGAATCTTCGATCGAAACAACCGAGAATCATGCCTACAACACGAATCTACCATTTGTCATAAAACGTCAACTTTTCGTATGCGTAGGTGTTTATCAGTTTCTTGTGGTTAAACGCACGTGATTAGCGATTTGAGAATTTTGGGATACTAGAGATGGGTTAGTGAGATGCTCATAACTAGTAGTTGGAAACTGTGTGTTGTCTTGAGGCAATTTAGAACAATTCAGGCTCGTCCTTTAAATACATGCTAAATTTTGAACCCTTCGTTATTCTCCGTTTACCATACCCATCGCTTACAAATGTAGCTAATAGCTTGACGTGTAGGTTTTTTGGATATCGTGATGACTAGAATCGATCCATATTCGATGAAACACTTGTTTTTCAGTGCCCTACCATGTCAAGCAGATTAGTTTGACAGTAGTTGCGATTCAGGGTCCAAGTCCGAAGTCGTACTGTCAACTGCAAAGAGGTGTAGTGCCAATTTTGCGTCCCCCTCAGACAGACAGGGTATGTAGTTTTTTCATAACGTAGAGGATTACAAAAAGTCGGTCCGAAAGTAGCATAACTTGACTAGCTCCATGGATCCTTGTCGCTAAAAGGAAGGTTTGCAAAGCACGGATTTAAAACATCTGAAAATACTTACAAATAGACTGTGTGTGACAGAACCTAAGCCGTTGGACAGTCGCAGATAATCCAGATGGCCTCTTTGTAGGTCTCTTAAAAGTGTCCTTGAGTGGCATAGACGTCCATGAAACGACAACTAGCGTCTTTCACCCCTCTAGCACTAGTCAATATAATCTGACTCCCCTTCCCAGGTCCGTTGATTCTTTACGCATGTGTTGTTGCTAAACGAAATAGTTTGAGCGTTGATTTCTGACTTAGTACCTCGTTTTAATTTATACTGAATTCTGATATGAGTTAATTATATATATATATATATATATATATATATATATATATCGGTAGCCCAATAGACTTTCACTTCTATTATTATCTTCTCGCGTAACTAGCCAGTTTGTGGGGAAGGGTTAGCCCGTAACACGTTGTGCATCAATATAAGATCTTAGACAACGCCCATTATAACGAATTGACACAAGGAAAAACAAACTTTTGGAATGTACACTGCCACAAATACGGCACAGAATTTCGCCATTTATAACTAACCTCCATTTTTCAAGATCATAGAAATAATCCATTTGGAAGTTGATCAACAAACGCGCTTTTTCGATCGAGTCCCTTGTACCAGCTAGTATGAATCCACCGTATTCCTCATCTGTATATGGTTGTGAGGATGTCTGAGCACTTCCAGCCTATAAAATTTGACAAGATTAACATTATCAGGAGTTTTATGGAGATTTTAGTAATTTCAACAGTTGAAATCACGAGTCAATTGAAGCTAGAACACCATGGAAAACCTGGAAGCACTGGATAGCCGTTTCGGTCTATTGTGGGACTCTTCAACAATGCGAATTCACGATCCTGTCTTGCGAGATTCCAACGCAGGACGTATCAGTTTTGCGCGCAACCGCCTAACCACTAGACCATTGAGGTGACCGGCATCTAACGGTGTTAATATCTAACTTCAACCAATCCCATACTAGGACAAAACGGCCATCCAGGTTTTCCATGGTGGTCTAGCTTTAAGTGACTCATGAATTTAATTATTGAAGATTAAAATTGTCTAAGAACAGATCAATAATTTTGACCTCAGAATAAAATATATACACTTGCAACCTTAAGACCAACGAAAATAAAATTTAATGTTTTGACGTAAGAGAATAATTACCAACTTAAAGTAATATTAATAAAATGTGGCACTGATCGAGTAATAATGAGATTGGAGAACATTCATCAAACCCCTATTTTTTAGTTTTATTCACAATCCAGTCTATATCTGTTTCCATCTACTGTCAACACTGGCAATTAGCGAGCACGGTTACCATCACATGTCCGGCATGCAATAAATACACAAAGTAATCAACCACCCTCTAACTATACCTGATTAACCAAAGTATTTTAAAAGTTAATATCTGTGAATGGGCAGGAAGCAAAGCTCAATTGAAAATATCTGATGCTAGTAGCTAGAAAGAAATATTTGATTTGTGTTTAATGATTATTTTTATTTTTAGAAATCACGGATTCCTATTTCGATACTTCTATATCGCGACGTTAAAAACTAGATTGTTCACCCAAATCACGAAAAATATGCGGTAGATTATTCAGAATAAAAAATAGTCAATATTTACTCATTTTTAGTTCAAAATTTCATTTGCAAGTGATTAGAAGGAAAACAGAAAGCTTCGCGTAATCACGTGTCCTTGTAGAAAGGAATGAACGAAAATAGTGGTTCAATTAAAGCTATTAATATATAAGTGACAATTTTCATTTATGGATAATGGAACATGTATTTAAGATCAGTGTATCAGTGAATTCAATTCAGTACAAGTAAAAATGTTCATGAGCTTGGTCATGAGTTGCGTTTTTTGATGAAACCAAATATACTATCCAGTTCCTTAAACAAAAGTAAATAGAATAGTTTTCTTAAATAACGATGAATACATTTCGATAATGCAATGAGAAGACGTTTATCAGAATTGTGTGATATATTTGCGCAATACATTTCGAACAATCTGATCACACATATACTTGTTAAGAACATTTATATACGAAAATTAAAAGGTCAACTAGACAGGTTAAGGATAAGTCATAAAAAAAGAAAAAAATATTAAAGTACACAAAAACAAATGTCATTACCACTCTGGATCAGTACTACCAGGGTAGGTTAAGTGTAAGCACAAATTGTTTTTGAACACATGAAGGGGTTTCGATTTTTTTTCTATTTCATTGTGATTATTGACCCGTATTGCCTTGATTGGTTTACATTTTTGTATAAATATTCATGTATATTAGAGTAAAGCCTGATGACGATCTAATTGAAAACCATTGTTCGCTTATATGTGTTGTTCTAATTTTCGTATAGCCAAGGCTTCAATAAACCTTAGTATACGTCCTTGAAGGCTTTTGTACAACACAACAAATGCTGATTTGATATCAACCTTATGACCCGTCTCAATCAAATGTTTCGCAATGGATGGTGATGACTGTCTATCCTGTGATCTTATTTGACCATTGGAATACATTGTGTTAAAATTATTTTTGAAGTAATGTCAACGATTAAAATTTAAATAATTCCAACGTTTCGTCCAACAAACTTATCTGAACTACTTTAATATTATTTCTTCAGAAGTTCAGACAGGTTCGCGGGACAAAACGTTGGGATTATTTAAATTTCAAACGCTGAGATTATTTCAAATATAATTTTCATATATTATGTCTACTTTATACTCGGCACCCAATATTTGTCAAACTGTTAGTAGTTCTAACATTGACGAATATTCGTATAAATCACGAATACATTTGAAAAAAGTAACCAATAGAATGAAACAACTTCAAAGAAAAATTGATACAAAACTGAGGAGTGATTAAGGTATAAATAATATTATTGTTCCAGGCACTGAATTATATGTGAGAGTGCAAACAATTGTTGTTTTAAAGGTATTCTCTTCATCTAACGACTTTCTAAGATATTTACAGATGTGAAATCACTTCTATTTTTAAAATAATGCAAATCATCATATAAATTTCAAGAATGAAAAGCTATATAAAAATCACTACCACCACCTAACTAAGGTAAAATGATTAAGTTTGATGATATTGTAGACCGGTGTATAAGCTCTTCTAAAAGTTGACAGACAATCCACTGGAGAAGCTAAAGATATATTGAACAGCCCATATATAAAAAACTAAAAAGAATACAGAATACTCAGTTTGTTGAACTAATACGTTTAGGCATATAAACGTACTGTGATTATTTATTTATTTTAACACATAGATATTGGTACAAGGAGGTACCAAATACATATGCGCCACACAAATCTCATTAAATTTGTGTGAGGGCTGTGATACTGCCCAGGTGTATTAGTATGTACACAGAATATTAGGTGAACAAAAAGACATGTATGATCATTACCTTTAGAAAGACTCGTCGCATTGTGCTTGCTAAAGGATGCCCTGGATGGGAATACTTAATAACATCAGTTTGGTTATTATCATCGCTGAGAGACACGGAGCCTTCAATATGATCATCGAAATGAATGTGAACAACACCAGATTTACGAATAATGGACATAATATTTGAGGTTCTTTTTCCGATCAAACGTCCTACATAACGACGTGGAACACCTAAATATAGCTCGGAGTATTCCAATTTAGCTCGAGCTTGTTTTGCAGCTTCCGGAGTCTAGAATTTTAAACCATTAATACCAATAATAATATTTTAATTAGAGTTCATTTCCAGCAATAAAAATAAAACAACCAAGTAATTGTCACTTTACTCTGTAAAACTAAAACATAGCACATATGTTAATTTTACCAACCAGACAACACAAAATCCTTCTATTTTTCAGACATACAAAAGACACAACATTTACATTGTCTAAAAGCTGTATCATCAATGAAAAAACTAGTTAATATTTACATGAGAAAAGTACATGTTCGCTAACCAATTATCTGACAGGAAATTTATTAAAAATAAATACTGAGACGAGAGAAACTTGAAGATAGCCATTTCTAATATATACTTGCAAAGTACATCCAATCTGTTTTTGAATGTATTACATATGCACATTCTTTTAAACTTCGAGGATGGATAGTGAAGTAACCATTGCTTCCTGTTCAATGAGTTAACAGAAACATGAAATGATATACAGCTAAACACCAAATATTTTTTTAAAGATGATTAGTGGTTGACTACTATTTCAAATCAAATATTTTCGTGACTGTAGAGTTCATCAGATATCTGGAATATATGTTGAATCACCTACATTACACGTAATGGTGTACGAATTCGAGGAACGACTACTGATCTTCAAAATTATTAGTTGATGTCCTTGTTGGTGAAATTTTTAGCAGACCACTTATCCCCTCTATTCAATTTATTATCGTACAATCAGCCGGATATTATGTTCTAATTTTCTGATAGATTTATTCATGTGATCTCGCAATACCTCAATGATAATTTCGTGGACTAGGTGAAGTTGAATAATCGGGCTTAAAAGCACTCCTCAGTCAATAGGTATGGACGACATTTAAATTACCTCCTCTACATATGGGTTAGCCGGGCAGAACTCGAACTTCGTGGAGCGTTTTGCAAATAGTATAGCAGCTCAGTGGTTAGGATAATTGATTCTTAACCAACAGACCGTACATACGAACCTTCAAATGCCTTGGTACAGTTGAAGGTGGAAAGATTCCACTCTCAAAATGCTCTCATATAGTCATGCAAATACGACCATTAGCAGAGAAATCCTACTGACTGTCTTTTCAAGGTGAAGGTATATAAACGATTTGAAAAGTTACTGCTCAGGTGAGAAAAGATGTCAGATAAGTGGATCTCAAGTTCTGAAACTAGTGTGAGTAGTATAATTCGACGATGGTGATCGTATACAGTATTGTTATCATGATGTAACTTATAATGTAGTAGAAAACAAAACAAGACCCATAAAGTAGCCAGCACCGACATGCTTTGATACAGTTGAAGGTGGGAAGAATTCACTCTCTCGAAATGCTCTCATATAGCCACGCGTATACGACCACTAGCAAGGAAGTCTTACTGCCTTCTCGCAGTGAGGCTGTTGTTTACGAAGTCGAAAGGACGGAAGGCGAACGCTCCACGCTTCAATCAAGCTAGTGGGTTTTGGGAATTCACTTAAGGAATTCGGAAAATCTTGATTCAAAAACGGTGGTGCATATAGGCTCATGAACCCTGAGAAAAAATCGTCGTGAACCGATTATAGTCATCGGCTACCATGGCCATGGGATTGCGTCTCCTAACGTTGCCCCACTGCCTTGTGGACCGGATCTATAAGTAAAAGGCTCGAGGTCTGGTAACCTAGGCAATATTCCAGCCAAAACACAAATCAAATGAAGTGTGGTGTAAAAATATTTGGTGCCCCTTTGCACCAATCTTTATGTTTAAATAAATAAAAAGTAGCCAGCATGTAATCAAATCCAAGTAAATCGTGAACTGAGTTGATACTGTCACCCAAAATGAAATTGTTTTCGGTGATTTCAGTAAAGAAATGCTCCAGAATGGTAGGGGAAATAACAGAATCTGTGGTGATTGAAATGATTAGACATAGAAGATTTGATAAGTATAAATTAGTGGAATAAACATCAAGAAGACTTCAGACTATAATTTGGGGAAATGTAAAGGACAGATGCACATGGTCTGAACCTACCTACATGGCTTAATCCAGTTGCCGATAACTTTATGGACTGATACCACGTTTTGGTTTGGCGCTCTTTCATTCTATTCATACACTAGGCAACATTTCTAGTCGACGTAGTAGTTGGTTTGGTAAGCGCAAACCATGCTCCAACCACATCAGTTGATGAAGATTTACTACCTCAGCAATCGAGTTGTCATTCTTAATTAGTACCTTATTTCTAACCCAGGAATTGCTTAATCCGCGAAATGGTTTTACACATTTTTTGACTATTCGTAAGGGAAGTATTATGAGACGGGAATTTGGTGATGTGAATTCTCTACTTTAGCCACATATATGAAATCAAGTAAAGCGAGTATCATAACTTTCAATTAGATATTTGAAATTGAAGAAGGTTGTTAAGTTGAGGCATATTGTCGCCGATAAGATGGGCTATAGTCAGAATGGATAGTTCATTGGAGGGTAAACGACGTAAAATATTGACACGGGTCAGATGTTTACATTTGATATCATTCTCTTGTTGATTATTTGCATTTAAGCACGTTACTTTGTTATAACAACCTATTCCTCTGTCAATCATACTGGTATAGGTTGTCATACCCATTGTACAACGAGATAAAATTGTCCGAGAGAATCCTATAGTAGTACAGGTATCAACAGTACAAGTCGAAATAGAAAAGGATAGGCATCGAAAATACAGTTCGAGACGAAAATATCATTTAGTGAAATAAGTTTTTAAGGAAATTAGAAATTTATTATCTAAGGAGAGACAAAGAGTGAGCGCACTTGAGTCATTATGAACGATTTTGAGTCATGTTACTCATCCTCTTACAATTGGTTACAATAATTGCATGTACCTCAACCAGACAATACACCCACCCACATTGCTCAGTTCAACAGTTGGTGCCTTCGTAGATTGATGTCATGTCTTGGTTCGGTCGCCCCATCTTTCTTCCGACCTATTCCTACACCAGACATCATCGCACGTCGTGGAAGTCAGTGAATGGGCATATGCAATACGTGTTCGAATTGTCTCAGTCGGCAAATGTTCATCACATCGCCAGTTGATTTGCCATCGTTACCTAGTACTCTGCGTCTAACATCCGAATCCCCAACTCAATTGTCCTAAAGCACACGAAGACACCTATGACCGAATACTAGTAACCTATGAATATCATCTACTTTTAATGGCCATCCTTCACAAAGTAGGATGTACAGAACTACTGCGCAGTCAACTCGTCCCTCAGTTGGTAGATGGATATCTTAACTACATCTCAAGAGACATAAGTTGACATTAGCCAACAGGAATTTTTGAATTCCTGTCGAAATTACGTCAAACATCAGGGATTATCAGACTAGGTCTTGTCTTTTATCTCAAGTTATACAGAGACTTACGTTAATAATTTGGTCTTGAATAGCCATCATTCGGCCACATCGTATCACTGGATATTATCCACTGATCAGAATCTTTTCATATTAACAGCTGGAAATTTGTTCTTCAAACCACTAACATACCAACTCATAAGTCAACTTTAAATGACTTCGAGGGCTGTCTTATGCTTTCAATAATTTCTCGTAGGACTTGATACCGTCGTTCGATATGAAAAAATAAGAAGAGTGATGAGTTGGTTTAAATTAAGTAGGCAAGGCCTATATATGTGGACAAAAGGGAAATACGGATGCGTGCATGGAAATGATAGTAGACATAGTAATGTGAGTCCGACTGCCTCATACAGACGGGTGAGCCACCGAGTAAAATACATAACGCTAGCCAAACGAAAACTCATTCTTTGTTTACACAAAACACTAGATCATCACTTTGGAAAAAGTTATACCTTGGCTTCTATAACAAACATCGCAGCTTCACCATGATCTCCAGAATTATCGACAGGGTCATTATTTCTTGCATTATATTCAGACGGTTCCCATGACTCGATACGGATTACATCGGGAATTTCTCTTGCAGCACGAATATTTACACCACGAGCACCTATAGCTAAACCCATGAGATGTTGAGGAACAAAAAACTTTTCAACAAATAGACTAGGATCACTGTTCCAGTCACTGCAGTTTTTGACCCACCTGGTCGTGATACATCTGGTCCGCGATTGACCTGAAAAATGTTTACGGTAAGATTATAAAAATAAAGTACATTTATTTTTGTAAGAGTGCAATATCCTTTATGAATATTTCCATTGACTTAAACTTATGTAAAACGCAAATGAGCTATTTACCACACAACATATCGCATACAAAATGATTAACATTTGTATGGAGGTCATAAAATAGTCTGTGAAAGCTTTTGATTTTCTGCCATACACGTAGTCGATAAAACTCCGCCATTAGCTCTTCTAGATTTACTACCGATCCCAATCCCTGGTAAAGAAAGAGGGTTGAGCATGGTGTCAACAACAAGGGTGAGAATGTCACGAACCCAGGATCATCAAAGCGTCATTCAAAACAAAGAACGAGGGGGTCACAACGAATGTTATTCAATGTTAAGCACCAACGACGACGATAAAGATAGGATTTATGAGAGGCTGCAAGCGATCACAGCGAAGTGCTCTGGAAAGGACGTGACCATCCAGATGGGGGACTAAGCACCAAAGCCGAAATGGATAACACCGGGTATGAAGATACCATGGGACGACATGGACTTGGAGAAAGCAACGAGAATGGTGACAAATTTGCAGATACGTGTATTTAACAAAATGGTTATAGGAGACACAATATTCTCCCACAAACGCACACACAAAGCTACATGGGACTCACCGAATCACGATACATAGAACCAGGTCGATCACAATTCCATCACGAAAACTTCGATGGAAAACATGAGAATCAGGAGAGGGGCTGAAATAACTACAGATCACCACCTGGTGGTTGCCAAGATGAAACTGAAGGTAAACAAGTACTGGACAACTGGAGAAACAGCATTACAAAGGTTTACTACCGTCTTCCTTTGAGATACTAACAAACTCAACGAATTCAAAACAGCTCTGCACAACAGGTTTCAAGTCTTACAAGATTTATTCAAAGAAGAAACTATAATAGAGGACAACTAGAAAGGGATCAAAGAAGCACTAACTTCAACGTATCAGGTTTTCGACTTCAAGAAGCATCATCATAAGGGATGGATCATCATCGAGAACTTAAGGAGGATTCAAGAAAAGATGGACAAGAGGACATCAGTTAACGAGAGCCGAACAAAAGCAGAGAAAGTCAAGGCACAAACTGAATACACAGAAGCAAACAAACAAATGAAAAGGAGGATTAGAGCTGACAAGCAGAAATACGTGTTAGACCTAGAAGAGATAGCGAAAAAATCTGCAAGGGGAGAGAGTATGAAACAACTGCATGACACAACGGAGAAACTAGCAGAGAAATATGGTAAACAAGAGTGATCAGTGAAGGACAAAAAGGGCAAACCAATCACTGAGATTTACGAACAGCAGAACAGGTGGGTAGTCTACTTTGAAGAGCTCTTGACTACAACAGCGCTACTGAACCCACTGGACATTGATGTATCACACATAGACCTTCCTATAGCCGTCATTTGACTAATGATCGAAGAAATCAGCGTGACGATCGGACAAACCAAGAGTGGGAAAGCAGAACGAACAGACAACATACCAGCTGAAGCACCAAGGTCACATACAGAGGTAACCACGAAGACGTTCCACAGAAAAAAATGGAGAAACAACAAGTGTCAACAGACTGTGGAGGACACCTAATCAGGATGTCGAAGAAAGATCTCAGCAAGTGTGAGGAGTCATACTACTATCAGTACGAGGAAAACTTTCCAACAGTGTTGTTGGATCGAATGAAGAATTGAGCAGACGCCCAACTTTGAAATCAACAGTCTGAATTCTGTAAGGATCGGTAGTGCACAGACTAAATAGCGACGTTACAGATCATCGTTGGACATTCAATTGAATGCAACTCGTCACTACACACCAACTCCCTTGACTATGAGAAGGCGTTTGACAGAATGGATAGGGGAACGTGATGGGGCCTTCTTCGACACTATGATGTATCTGAGAAAACCGTCAACCAGTATAGTGAAAGCCTCTGTAGCAGTAGGCCTCAACATACACAAGGGGAAAACCAAGATCTTTAAATACAACATGGAGAACACCAATCCAATTACACTTCATGGAGAAACTCTGGAAGAGGAGGAATCTTTTACATACTTGGGAAGCATCATATATAAACACGGAGGATCGGATGCAGACGTAAAGGCAAAGATTGGCAAAGCAAGGACAGAATTTCTACCGTTTGAATACTTATGCAAATCAAAACAACTGTCAACCAATATCAAAGTCAGCATCTTCAATACGAACGTCGAGACAGTTGTACTATATTGAGCTTAATGATAGTCAAGTTAAGAGTATATTTCAGGGACAACTAGAAAAACAATTAGGCAGCCATGTATGTGATGCCCACACCGGGGCACCATGGAATGATACCCGAAAAGCTGTAGAAAAAGCAGCGATATCTTCTAGTACGGTAAACCGTAAGGTTAGGAAGCAACATTGGATCTCAGCACCATCTACCGCACTGATAGATGCTCGAAAACGTATCCCACCTTGCTCTGAACATAATGAAGAGCGGAGTCAGCTTAAGCACCAGCTGACAAGAAGCCTATGTAATGATCGTGAACAGTGGTGGGTAGCGAAAGCAAGAGAGATGGAAAAGGCAGCGGCAATAGGTAATAGCAGACAATTGTTCAGACTCGTTAAGGAAACCGGCATTAGGAACCCGACTGTTAGCGAAACAATCTCAGAGAAAGATGGACATATTATACATTCTCAATCTAGGAGATTGGATCGATGGGCAGAACACTAGGGATCAGTTCAATTGGCCTTCAGCCACACTTTGGTTTCCCACGATCTCCGTCGACCTGAATGGCGAGTTAATGCAGGTCCTCCGACTCTTTATGAAGTTGAAAAACCTATCGCAAATCTGAAGTGAGGGAGAGCAGCAGGCCCTGACAGGTTTACTTCCGAGATTTTTAGGGATAATGATCCGGTATTAGCAGTGAGATTAACTGAGGTCTTAGGTAGAATTTGGGAACTGGTCTAAATCACTGATTGTGTCAGTCTATAAGAAAGGACAAAAGTCTTCTTGTGACAATCACAGAGAAATCAGTTTGACAAATATAGTGTCTAAGATATTAGCTTCAATAATACTCCGACGCCTAACTAAACCTCGTGAAGAACAGACTAGAGAAAATCAGGCTGGTTTTCGACCTGGACGTGGTTGTATAGATCAGATATTCACACTACGTCAGGTTCTAGAACACAGACACACGTTCAGACGCCCCACAATCGTAGTATTTCTCGACCTTAAGGTTGCATTCGACTCTGTTGACTGTACTGTATCCTCATATGCAATCTTTCTCCTATATATTACCACCTTTGACCTAACCACTCCTATGAATCCGGTGTTCATCTTGCTGTGCTAATACGGTACGGCAACCTGGACCGATGCATATATGTGCCTGGTCCTACGTTGTAGCTGACTGCCTGAGGTTCTGTGGCAGTGTTTGTCACTGAAAGGAGTACCAAAGAAGTGCATCAACCTTGTAAAGGCTCTCTACTCGAACACTACTGGTAGAGTGAGAGCTTATGGCGAACTGTCATCAGAATTGATTACCTCAAGTGGTGTTCGTCAGAGCTATCCACTCTATTTTTGTTCGACTTTGTTGTTGACGTGCTTTTAGAGATGACACTTTCCTCATCTAAATTTCCAGGGGTTGAACTTCTACCAGGAGATTCACTTGTTGACTTGGAATATGCCGATGACATAGTTATATTTGGTGAAGACGCTGACAAAATGCAGTCTTCTGGCCACTCTAAAAAGTAATGCAAACATGTTCGGCATGCGATTCTCCCCCTCAAAATGCAAAATGTTGCTTCAGTATTGGGTTGCATTGACACCCAAACTAATGATAGGGAGTGAAGTAGTTGAGCGTGTCGATCGCTTCACTTATTTTGGAAGTATCATCAGCCCTTGTGGTCTGGTGTGTGACGAAATCTCAGCACGGATACAGAAGGCTCGACTCGCTTTAGTCAACTTGCGTCATTTATGACGTAGACGAGATATCCGTCTATCAAACAAAGGACGTGTTCACTGAGCAGCAGTTCGTTCCGTCCTACGTTATGGCAGTGAAACGTAACCGGTAAGAGTAGAGGATATTCGTAGGTTACTAGTATTCGATCATAGGTGTCTACGAAACATTGCTGGTATATCCTGAGAACATCGAGTAAGTAACGCAGTTGTTAGGAAACGGGTACTAGGTAATGATGGCAAATCGATTGACGAAGTAGTGAAGCTCCGTCAGTTGAGATGGCTGGGACACGTGTTACCTATGCCCAACCACCGACTGCCTCGACGTGCGATGTTCAGTGGTATAGGAGTAGGTTGGAAGAAAGCTAGAGGCGGCCAGACCAAAACATGGCACAAGTCCATGAAGTCACTGACAAGTGGTCTGAGTCATGTCGGTAGGTGTAGACTACCTGGTTGGGGACCGCGAGATGATAGCAACTGATGGTTAGAGACCTGAATGACATGGCTCAAAATCGTTTGCAATGGCGCAGGTGCATACACTCTTTGTGTTCTCCCAAATTTTAATCTCCTGATTCCTCATTGTCTCTTTTTTTTCCTCTCAAATTTATTTCACTGTATTATACTCTTTAAGTAACATCTCCAAACACTCATCTTCCCGATTATGCTTATACTCTTATTACCTCTACCACTACGAAATTTCAATAAACAACTGCATCACTGTGCTAATGTGGTGTGGCAACTCGAACTGATGTATGTACGAACGGAGTTCTACGTTGTTACTGACTGAGATAAAAATGGAGAAAGTGGACAGCTTTGACGGATATCACTTGAGGTTGACAGTTCGCCATAAGCTCTGGTTCAATTAGTGTTCGAGTAAAGAGCCTTTACAAGGTTTATGTACTTCTGAGGTACGGTATGGAGAATTTCGCACCATTATTAAGCTTCTGTTGGTAAAGTAAAATCCCCGAGGTTAAGAAGCTCCGAGAAATGAAATTTAGTAGATTGTCAACAGAAACAATGAACTACATCTTACGGTGTGAGATGAATGAACACTTACCTCAAGATTTCGAATAGTTTGCCGAAGACTTCGAGTTAGGGCCCATTTTTGGCGCAACATCCTTAAATGAGTATCTTCCAACAAGGCAACATTCTTGGCTGTTACAGGGTCTGTCGTTAACACGACCAAACAGGAAGACTCATTATCGTAGTGTAGGCTTACAGGGCCACCACAATGGCGCAAAAAGTCATGGTGGACAGAAGGATCAGAAGCACTGAAAATAGAAAATTATTAATGAGCTCTATGGCAAACTGATAAAGTTTAAGATGAATAGATTTGTTGACTCGAAAATGAAATATGAACGACACAACCACCTTTATTATTTTCTAGTACGTCCCTAAGGGTTCGAAGTATATAAATGATTTGAAAAGTTACTGCTCAGGTGAGAAAAGATGTCAGATAAGTGGATCTCAAGTTCTGAAACTAGTGTGAGTAGTATAATTCGACGATGGTGATCGTATACAGTATTGTTATCATGATGTAACTTATAATGTAGTAGAAAACAAAACAAGACCCATAAAGTAGCCAGCACCGACATGCTTTGATACAGTTGAAGGTGGGAAGAATTCACTCTCTCGAAATGCTCTCATATAGCCACGCGTATACGACCACTAGCAAGGAAGTCTTACTGCCTTCTCGCAGTGAGGCTGTTGTTTACGAAGTCGAAAGGACGGAAGGCGAACGCTCCACGCTTCAATCAAGCTAGTGGGTTTTGGGAATTCACTTAAGGAATTCGGAAAATCTTGATTCAAAAACGGTGGTGCATATAGGCTCATGAACCCTGAGAAAAAATCGTCGTGAACCGATTATTAGTCATCGGCTACCATGGCCATGGGATTGCGTCTCCTAACGTTGCCCCACTGCCTTGTGGACCGGATCTATAAGTAAAAGGCTCGAGGTCTGGTAACCTAGGCAATATTCCAGCCAAAACACAAATCAAATGAAGTGTGGTGTAAAAATATTTGGTGCCCCTTTGCACCAATCTTTATGTTTAAATAAATAAAAAGTAGCCAGCATGTAATCAAATCCAAGTAAATCGTGAACTGAGTTGGTACTGTCACCCAAAATGAAATTGTTTTCGGTGATTTCAGTAAAGAAATGCTCTAATGACGCTACAGTGAAATACGAGAAATAATTATTATAGTCCTGATTAGGAATTTTATTTCCAAAAAATTATTATGAAAAGTTTTACACGTAGTCATATAACCAATACAATCTGCCCACTTTTTACTACGGCACTAAGTTTTGTGAGCAAAACTAGTGGACTTGCGTCATTTTCTACAATCTCTATGAAGATGAAATAGTCTTTACCTGCTGACCCAATATCAAGATTCCAGCGGATATCATAGCGATCAATAGTTATCACGAAGTGGCATTTTCAAAAATAGCTAACTTATAAATGTCGATAACCCGATCTGTGAGTTCATTTTGTTACAAAGTGGTATAAAGGCAAGTGCAGCAATCAAATGTAAAAAACAAAACATAAAAACAACTGCGAACACAACATAACTGTCCTCTGCCTGCATTGCTCAAGATAGACTTACAAGTCTGCCAATTCCTTTGGAATTTCAATACGATGCCGGTGAATGATATCAGGTGACAGACATGGGCAGTCATCACTGGGCTGACGTAGAGACTTACGACTTACGATCTCGGTGACAGTAGAAAGGTGTGTACAAAGTGAAATTTCTGAGGGTGTTGCATCGGCCGGTGGTGATACATTTAACTTAACTACTGCGACATCATCTCGAATCTTGACAACGCGACAAGGCCACCAAGATGGAATAGGGAGATAATTCAGCTGATCATCCAGTATGAGTTCAACTTCCGGTTTACTATTAGTTTCATCGCCCCAACGGCCAGTCAGTGTAATTGTATTACTAGATGAACCTGGAGTCTGATCGGTCACGACGGAAAATAGGGCTTCCCCGTTTTGTCCAGGATGAACATCTCTGGAAACGCAAAAAAAGACCTCTGAAAAAGCTTTTCAGACAAGACTATTTATTTCATTTAGTACTAGCTTTAGGTCATGTAGAACTTAGTGGATCAGCCGTTTACGCAGTTATCTCAGTAAGCAGATGAATAAATACTAGTATGAGATGATATCTAAACCTAAAATGAACTTTGAGTACCACAAAATACATGCACAAATTCTAACTTCAAACACGCTTATTCAGTAAGTGCACTGTAAATTTCGAAAAGACTACGTAGAAAGTATTAACTACATCCCAGTTTTTAGAAAGACACGGAATTAGGTTGACTGTGGACAAATGTCAACCGAGAAAATGTGGAAGACAACTAGCTGTTAAGGAATAGACCGGGTATAATGGCTATTTTAAATGTGCTTGACCACTCGGAATATCGTGTTCTTAGAAAAAAAGAATATCCAGGTCTTCAGGCAATATCTTTGTTACTAGAACAAGCATGAATACAACTTATTGAGAATATGCATTAACACTAAAGGACAAAACTGCCAGTAGGATTTCGGTATACCGAGAGTATACTTTTGATGTTGAAGCCTCTTAACAAGTCAAGCCACTATGAGGCACTCGTTAGTACGCAGAGAGTAAGTGCATATTGGAAACTGAAATAAGAACACTAAGTACTATAAACTCATACAAGAGAAGGATGAATTTCTGCGTATGAAGCAATACTAACGAGGCTCTTCCAGTCCATGCAGCTAAAATTTTCATACGTCTCTCATTGACATGCAGGAATTTTTCCACTATATAACCGGTAGTTCTCTTGAGCCGCAGTCCAACTCGTCTACTTCCTCCACCACTTTTTATAGGGAATACGACTTTAGTCATAATGAACTTAGAGCACTTTTCAGATTTAGAATAATATAACCCATCGTACTTGAAAGCAGACTTGGCGAGTATTGGGTGTTTGAATGCTACGTGACCTCTTCGTGTTCTTAATAGAAACCAAACTCGATAGAATAACCACACCCGAATACACTATGGACTTAAGAAAAAGGTAACTTGAACTACATTTGGATACTTATACAGCAGTAACGAGACGATCTGCATTGACATGAATCAAGGACTGATTGCCTAGGTCTTTCAAACTAGACGCTAGGGAGCTGACCCCTTTTACTTGCCGGTAGTTCTATAACACCGTTGACAATTAGTGGTGGCTATGACCTTGTATTCAGAACATGAAGTATGCTAACCATGTTGCGCATTATGTATGTAGGACACGACCATTTTATGGAGCTACTAAAACTGCTTGCAAACTAACCGTTCGGAAGTTGGGGGTAGTCGCACATTTTTGATCGGAACCTGTTCCTCTTCATTTCTGAAAGAGAGGAATGGAAAACATGACTTAAACCCACTTTTCCGGGTAGAAGACAATCACATTTTCGTCAACTACGTTGCGCAGGATGGCCTAAAAATGTTATACATGTGCAAATACATTACTTACTTTTACGTATTGATTTAAGCGTCCCTTTACTTCTATCCCAATCATTTTAGGAATGAATACACAGCACCCAAGAAGTATACTCCCACCCTCAAATAATACCGAGGCTATCTATACAAACAAGTGGTGCCTTCAGTTGCATTTTCAATATACAATATTTTCAAGTATTATCAAACAATTTTAGACAGAACTAAACAAGAATTTGGTTAATCACTTCCCTTTGAATCTAACGGATCACTGGATTTTTTATGTATAACCTCAAGCAAGCAGGTATAAAAGTTTTCTTTAATCAACTGTAAATGAAGTTGTCTAAATTCAAATAGTTCAGATGGTTGTGGACGGAATAGAAGAAGCTTCTGCTTAGCAGACTTCCGTGTCTAGTAGCAGGGGATCACCAAATCCTCCAGGCAGGAACCTAGGTATGTTAACAATAAAAGAGGAAAAGAAATTGGTAAATCATAGTATGATGCTGTCCTTGGTCCTTAAGAATAGGTCAAGTTGCCTCTTGAAGGACTCCTGAGAAGTCGCTTGGACTAGCTCGGCCGGCAGCGAATTCCAGCTTTTGACAACTCTTAAGGAGTAGAAGTTGTGTCTACATTCCGTCTTGCTATGTTGTGTTTCCAGTTTCTGGGTGTTACCCCTTAGGTTAATGTTCGAACTAAGCTTAAGTAGGTGTTTAAGAGGATGTCCAGAAGTGTTAAGAATACTATAAGCCATTAATAAATCACCTCTAAGACGCCTATATTCTAATGGGTAAAGGTCTAGTGAACGGAGGCGTTCTTCGTAAGGCTTAGATTTGAGTCCTCGAACTGATTTCGTGGCTCGCCGTTGGATACGCTCCAAAGTGACCTTGTCCTTTTGGAGTGAGGGGGGAGTACTATGTTTCCGTACTCTAAATGGGGACGGATGAAACTATTGAAGATTGTGTGGAAAGTTCTTCCGTCAAACTGTCCAAAAATGCGCTCAACGTTACCAGTGCAAGGTTTGCTCGGAAGGCATTTTTGTCACAGCGTAAGACTTTAAGTCATGGGGCACCAGGACTCCTAAATCTTTTTCGACTTGGGATACTACTAGAGAGGAGTTTCCTAAGTTGTAACTGTAGTTTGCGACATGTCGCAGATGGACTACTTTACACTTTGAAGTGTTAAAGGTAAGTCCGTTATCGTCTGCCCAACTTTGAAGTCGAGTCAGATCCTCCTGAAGTGCCTGTATATCGTCTTGGTTGCGTATCTCTCTCCAAAGTTTCACGTCGTCGGCAAAAAGTAAAAATCTGACGTTACCTGTTGAGGAAGATCATTTATGTAGATCAAGAAGAGAAGAGGCCCTAGTACTGAGCCCTGGGGGACCCCACTAGGACATTCCATAGCCTGAGATAAAGTGAAATTAACCCTAACCTTAAAGTGTCGATTTTTTAGGTATGAAGTAAGCCAATCGATTAGAGGTGGTTTGATACCTAGTCGTTTGAGCTTGTTGATAAGACACAAGTGGTTAACCTTATCAAAAGCTTTTGAGAAATCAAGGTAGATGATGTCAACCTTTCCCTTGCGATCGAGGATGCTTGTCCATCTGTCCACCGCAGTCAGCAGGTTGGTTATACAAGAGTAACCCTTCCTGAAACCATGCTGTTGGGGTGAGAAGAAATTTAAGGACAGTAGATAGTCATTTAAACCGTCGCATATCAGGGACTCCATGAGTTTTGAAGGTAATGACAGAAGAGCCACCGGCCGATAACTTGAAGGTTCATTGCGTCGACCACCTTTGAAAATTGGTGTGATGTGAGCCAACTTCCAATTTTCCGGTAATTTGCCTCGGCTAAGCGAGTGTGAAAACATCACGCTAAGCGGCGTTGCCAGGATTGAGGCTGCCTCCCTCAGTATGGCAGGATGAACCATATCCGGGCCAGGAGAAGTGTCTAATCTTAAGTGCTGCAATTTCCGGAACACCAAGTCAGCGCTTAGGTTCACTTCGGAAAGTCCTGTGGAATTGCAGATGAAACTGTCGTCAGTAAAGTTGATGTCAGCCGGTTGAAATGTTTGAGAGTAATGTTCCGCCAGAAGGTTAGCGGCGTCGCCATCGTTGTTGGTCGGGCCGTTAAGACCTAGCAGTTGAGAAACTCCTGTTTTGGCTTGACGAAGAGAGGCTGCATAACGGAATAAGCTTCTAGGGTTAGAGGCGAATTTGTCCATAAGCTTTGTTTGGTACTGAAGCCTGTCTTCTCTTATAGCCTTCGTGCATATGTTCCTGATATGCTTATATTGCCTATACGCTCCATCGTTATTAGTTCGTTTGTATTCCGCCCAACAGTGCCTTTTGCGGCTTAGCAGGCGAAGGGTACGGTTCTTGATTACTGTAGGTGGCTTGCAGCTTTTGGGAACCGTTTGAGGAACTGAATGGTTGTAGCACATAAGAGCGTGTGCAGTAAGAAGTCCCAATGACCAGTTGAGGGTGAACATCCCAAACCACCTGTTGTAGATAGTCATGTAGAGCTGGCACATTCAGCCGTTTAAAATTCCAACGCAAATTATTGTTGGGATACCTTAGCTTAGTTTTGATGACAAAACTGAAGGCTATGACGGCATGATCGCTTTTTTCCAGAGGAGCCAGGATTGAGAGGTTGTCGACTAGGAATTATTCGTTTGTGAATACACAGTCTAAGCGCGATGGTGTCTGACTGTTTCTCCAACGAGTTGCCGACCTCACATTTTCATATAATCCCAAGTCATCGATGAGGTTGAAGAACCGAGCTTTAATTGAATTTTCGCCTTCCAGTATACGTGTGTTCCGCGAAGTTGACTCTAGGGAGATTAAAGTCCCCTAGAATCAGAATGTGTGTGAAACCGAGACGAGTAGAGCGGGATAGTCCTTCCAGCATACGACTATCGTACTCGATGTCGGCCGTGGGCTTCCTATATGTGACTCCGACTAGGCACCTCGAAGTAGTAGACAATGTTGCAGAGCACCATATGGATTCCTCAAGATTGTTTAACTCGAGGTTATGGACTTGGTGTGGCTCTAAGGAAGATCGTATGTTTACGGTTACTCCGCCCCCAATTTCTGATTTTCTGTCGTTGTGAAACGAAGACATCTCAGGTATTGCTAACTCTTGGTCCGAGAACTGAGAAGGTATCCAAGTTTCACATATTCCCATCATATGGGCCTTATTAGCGTTGCTAAGTTCACGTATTTCATCCAATTTGTTTGGTAGACTCGCGGCGTTTGTATATAAGCAGTTTATGCTTTCAATTTGGAATGCGTGAGCTTCATCTTGTTTGTCTGTATGAGCCTTACGTGAATGAACAGGTAGCCCACCTATATGAGGTTTACCGAGTTGGTAGGCCCTGTCCTTTACACGTTTTTTATCATCTAGACAGTTAACTTCAACTTGCCTTTGTGCTACGAACCGTTGTTAATTTACCAGGTTTTCCAGTGGGTTCATGTTTAATACCTTGTTGTTTGGAGGTCAAGGCACGTTTTTAAATCTTGGGCTCTTTGATGACCAGACGAACATTCTTGGGGGCAGACTGTGAGACCAAATCACCAGTTGTCTTCCATACAACAATACTTGGGATGCTCAGCTTAGGCAGTGACGCCTGGTTCTTTTGGGCTCTGTTAACGTGGGTCGAATCACCTACAGAGTTTATAGGAACCACTGTTGTGTTCAGGGACCCTAAGCTGGGAGACCCGAGTTTACTTAGAGAGTCCAGTACCGTCAACGTGTTGATGGTGCTGAGCTTCAACACATCATCATTAGTGCTAATGAATGCTTCATCGATGGTATACCTGTCAACATCCTTATTCTTGTATTCATTGCGCGCTCTTGTTTGCCTACCCGTTTTTTTACTGTCGTTATCCAAGTATGCTGACAACTTGTTCCGCAGACCTGTCAGTAGGACGATGATGTTACTAAGCAACACTACAGCATCCGTTCTGCACGTGACACATAGAGTTTAAATTTGTAATATGATCGTGTGAAATTGTGAATACGATCAGACTGAATGGCTAGGATAGATGGTCCAAGTAGGATGTATAGTAAGACCTTCTTTTCTATTGAGAGCATTATGATTAAGCATTATATGGAACGTCTCAGATACCCTCCTTTCTTTGTAGTTGGAAAAGCCTTTTTGCAATATTTTGATATTTTAAAAATCGATTTGGTGGTTGTTGAAAATGGCATGAACTGCTATTGCCGATTTAATTTGAAGTTGGTTCAATTCTACAGGATTGTTAGGAGGTTTCTTTGTGTACCTAATATGTTCTTTGGCTCTAGTCACGATTTCGCGGGATGACTCTCCAATATAATAGGCATCACAATCAATACAACCTAATTTGTAGACGCAGTTGTGTGTGGACATGAAAGGGATTTTGTCTTTCAGGCGAACTAAAGTATTACGTAATGTGTCCGTTGTTTTGTAATACACTTTGATTCTGTGATGTTTTAAGATTCTTTGGATTTCTTCCGTTGTGCCATGACGGTATGGTAGAACTACAGTACCAATCCATGGCATTTCATTCGAATCCTTATTATAATGTAATAAATTGTTTTGTTTTAATATGCTTCTAATAATCTTCATATGAAAATTATTCGATTGTAAGATGCTAAATATATTCATTTGTTCTTTTTGTTTGTCTTCCTCTGATGTGATGATCTTGTTAGCTCTTCTAAAAAGATTTAAGGCTAGCGAGATCTTTGTACTGAAAGGATGTGCTGAATGGAAGTCAATATAACGATTTGAATGTGTCGGTTTTCGGTAAATGGATAGGTTTAGACTTCCATTTGGATTTCTTTTTACTAAGCAATCCAAGAATGGTAGCTCACCATGTACATTTTCATTTTCATTCGTGAATTTGATGTGCGATGAAAGTGTATTTATTCGTTTTGAAAAAGATCTTAGATGAGTCTGTAGTGGACCAGACAAATATGAACGCAAAAAGTATAAACAAAGTTACTAAAGATAAATAGTAATATTAATATATACAGTTAATTGTTACAAATACAATAAAAATTAGGGACGTTACTTAAATTGCTCAAACGTTGCGTGTTCTGATTAGGTCCAGTAATGTAAATCCACAATTATAAATGCTTGATGACTCTGAGCAGGTTGGCGAA